GTTTCTCTCTCTAAGTCCTCCTTATTTTCTCCTTCTTTGACCCCCTCAGAGACAGGGTCTTGGCCTGAACTGTGTGTGTTTCCTACCTGCACTATTCTCTTATTGATCAAAAAGCCGTCCTTCTCATCCACTTGAGGCTGGGGCTATGCAGATTTGTGAGACAGTGCCTTGCGAAAGTATTCGGCCCCCTTGAACTTTTCGACCTTTTGCCAAATTTCAGGCTTCAAACATAAAGATATAAAACTGTAATTTTTTGTGAAGAATAAACAACAAGTGGGACACAATTATGAAGTGGAACGAAATTTTTGGATATTTCAAACCTTTTTAACAAATAAAAAACTGAAAAATTGGGCGTGCAAAATTATTCACCTGCTAGGTGATAAGAAGTGTGTTATTCAACGGTCTCCTCCTTTTCCCCTTTGTTAAATGCTTAGAAAATATAGAACTGTGTAACTGCTTATGACGTTAAGAAGAGTCTTGGCATTGTGAAGAGATACATGATTAAACACGCGCAAAGAGACTCTTAAGACATTACCTTTAAATTAAAGTTCCTTAAAAACACAAGAAACCTCAAGACACCAAAGAAAAGTGACCTCCCACCATTCAACACGCCCTCCCTGGGAGAGTGGCAAACAAATGGGACCTCTTTGCCTCATTCTACACTTACCTCTCTTCCTTACAACGCTCTCCTGAAACTTTCCTGCTTTTAACGATTCTACCTGGAGCACACCCAAGAGCAGGAAATTTTATTTTTGCCTATTCTCTAAGGCCCTTACCTGGAAGAAACTGCCTAGGCCATATCTTTTTTTAATAGTCCTCAGCAACATTTAATTGTAGGCCTACTCAAATGGTCTCCAATACCTTATAGATTTTTACTTTTTTCTTTGTTTTGTTTTGTTGATATTATTACCTTGTTTAATTTACATATCTTTTGATTAAAAAACAACCAACAAGTTTTCTTTTGAAACCTTATTTCATTTGAATTGATTTTTACTTGTCTTAACGGCCAATGGCGTTAGGAAGTTAGTCAAGCAACTAAGTTATGCCGCCAATAACACTGAGGGCCCCATTTCAGAAAGCGGGATGTACGAGTATGTTAAGCCTGAGATGAGGTTTTCTGTTTCAGAGAGCGAGATCACATCATCCGGCAACTGATGTTGTCAACCTAAGATAAGTTTCAAAACCGTCAGTTTCTCTCTGACTCCTCCCCTTCTGCGGAGCCTGAGGCGGCTGTCTGACACACCGTTTCATTTCGTTATTCATGCTGTCGATTTCAAAGCACATATGGGAATGCATTTACATCTTAAAAAACTTAAAAATCCCAGTAAGATAGGCTATTAGTTTCTTACCCAAACATGATCTTGACCATGACCGATTTATGATCAGTCTGTCATCGATGTATGGACAGATCTCTGCACATTGTGGAGTTATCCTCAGCACAGAATAAAATCTCTGTCCGTCTTTAGGTGTATAAGGCTGTGACTGAAAACACTTACTACATTACTGAAGTAATCACTGTTTAATATGTAACCTATAAAACTGATCAATGAACAGTAATCTTTCATATTGTAGTCGCACTGATTGGAACATTCGTAGTTATCATACTAGAGATAATGTGAGTATTTGTAAGGGAGGAAGACTGGTGCAGCTGAAATTTTATATATTGACAGCATTTATAAAATACAAAATGAGAGATTTTATTAATGTAAAATAGACGTCTACACCTTTACAGTCAGTTTGAACCTAGACACATTTTCCACGTCAAAAAAAAAATTAATAGGCTAACCTACAGGGCGTGACTGTGACTTTAAAATCACAGGTCATGAATAAACTACAGCTTATTAAATATAACCTTCCTATTTAAAATCGAATGTAATGGCCTATAGGACAATTCTAGCACTTTCATTCATTAAGGAAATTCCAGTCTGGTAAATGGTGAAAAAGTATTAAAAAATACTAATGTTAACGTATTGATCCTCCACTCGTGCGTTTTAGAGCTTATCATGGTCCGCACTGGCGCGCATTCATATTTCTAACTCCACCCAATTAAAATGGAGGCTCTGCCTTTTTTAACCTGCTGCCATGGTGAATCGTAGTATCGGAGCTCCATTGATGATGGCTTTTTTTCATCCCCACGCACGCACTTCCATCAGGCTCAACATACATAGAGCTGATTGAATTAATCTGATCCCACCTCAGGCTCAATCAACTCAGAGCTCAAGGATAAACTCAGAGTTTGTTGAGCCTGCTTTCTGAAACCGGGCCCAGACCTTTTAACTCTGAACATCAGATCAGAGTCACGCCGACTAGAACCACGCAGTTTGCCTAAAGACCGTTTCGAGGTGATGCCAGCCAGAAAGCAGAGGGACCACAGAGCAAATCAGCTGTTCTAAACATCGATTCCTGCCAGGCTATTCACTTTCTTTATTTCCTTTAGAATCATACACAATTGCAACAGCATCGAGAATTAATCCATCAGATTTGCGACTGATTTCTTAATGATTGACTGACTATTAGTAACTAAATTGTTTTAATTACAATAGGCCTACTATGAGTTTCCTAGTTCCTTGTGTAATCGAAAAAGGTAGGTGGTGCCCCTGAGTGCATATGAGATTAATATGTTCAAGCATTAATATTCATAATATCAGAAACACATTCACTACAAGCACTATAACCCATGAAAAAGGAGATGTGATGTCATTGATGACATCGCATGAGAAAAAGTCTATAAATATGGATTTTAAGAAGTGATTTAAAACAAATCGCCAATTGTCTCCTCAGGCAGGTTGTTCCAACATTGAGGGGCCCTGATAGCAAAAGCGAGGTTGACTTCAGATTTAAGCCTCGACTTTGCAACCAAAGGGCCCCACCAGAGGATCTAAGGCTGCAAACAGGCTCATATGGGGTAAACATTTCTGTTGTGTAGCTTGGGGTCAAACCAAGAGATGCTTTAAAAGTGATCAGTAAAATCAATAAATCAAATAAATAACAGACAGGGAGCCAATGGAGAGAAGCCGGGATTGGGGTGATGAGATGTCTGTTAAAATCAGTAAGTAGCCAGCTGCTGTATTCTGAACTACATTGAACAAAGTTATAAACGCAACACTTTTGTTTTTGCCCCCATTCATTCAAAATCTGTGTTAGTGAGCACTTCTCCCTTGCTGAGATAATCCATCCACCTCACAGGTGTGGCATATCAAGATGCTGATCAGACAGCATGGGTGTGCTGTAGGCTGGGCACAATAATGTTCAGTGTAGTTGGAGGCAAGAGAGTGACTTTTGGTTTGTGCCAGAAATGTGGGAGTTACAATTTACTAACCACACAACTTCCCTTATTAAATGCATGAAGGACCACCTTTCTGCTAAATTTAATAAATGTGATTTATTTTAGAATATTATACATGTTAAAATAATCTGAAATGTGAAATGTTGGACCAAAAATATGACCAAGATTATTTTTCAAAGGTTTTTAATAAAGAGCAGTGAGTAAATGTCTATAAAATACAAATGACTGTGTGAAGGAAATGGGATGCACAATACATAACAAACTATGTAACAATGCTTTGTAAGAAATAATCAGATAATATCACAATACAACATTTAAAAATATAACATTTAAAAATTAAATATAATTTTGAACAGCAATGCAAATATGAGGGCAGAACTGCTCCTGGTGTCTAATAAGCTACATTTATTAGCATGTGTTAAGACTATAGTTCCCTTTTTAGAGCTTTGGGACTTTTATTTGCACACATCTGACATTTAAATAGCAAACCACCCAGCAACAGCTACAATGAGGCATCTTACATATGAATTTCTCAAAAATATCAATTTTGTCTTCTTAACATTCCAATGGCCCGCCCACGGGCTGTCAGGTCCTGGCGGCAACTTCATACTCATAAGGAACACCGTTTGGAAGCTAAAATCCCTGTGATTCGACCAATGCAAACCATATCAAGATACAATCACCACAGCGGGTACAATCAGCGCCTCTGTCAGACCAACCAGTACAATCAAAATTAATGCGACTCACCTATGAAGCCTCATAGGCAGACGTGGCTCGTATGTCATTATAACCGTTAATAACACCGATTTGGGTGTAAACAACTACGATAGTTTGTATTCAAATTAGCCGCTGAACTCTAACCTTTCGAGTGACACCAAATCCGACCCAATAAGAGCTCACGTCCCTTTCACAGCCTACAACAGCCAACGAGAGCCCGCGCTGTAAGGAAGGGCCAGCCCCTATTATTCCGTGGGTAGGCAGAGCCAGTTGCAAGCAATTGTGCCGATGACTGGAACTTCGTGTAGCCAATACAATTCTGAAAATAACGATATCCAACACATCTGCGTCAAGCTACCGGCTAAAGGTGTGTTCACACCGAAAGCGAATCTAGCATTTTGGTGAATTACATAAAAAGTCAATGCAAAGATGCAAATTCGCTCCGGACGACGTGAATGAGGCGTTTGTCACGGAATTCGCTGGTTCGCGCGAGTTCAGATTTTTCAAGTTGGGCGAAAAATTGACTTGACGCAATGTTGCGAAAGCCTATCAGCAGTGAGACTGTCCAAACGTCACCGGTGGCTTCGGAGCATTGTTTGGAGAGGACCTGGCGAGAGGTGTAAGGACAATCCGCTGGCCGACGGGGAGCTGCTAAAGAATGGGGAAGTGTACAGGGACAAATAAACACCCGTAGTCGGTCTGGATTCTACTCTGACAACTACGCCGTTTACCCGCGAGAGGAGCTCAGAGTTATTAAATTTGCTTTTTACTTTAGTTTTTGGGTTTACAACTTGCACTTTTTGTGCTGTTTTAGAAAAATATGCTAAGACATACACTTAGAAAAAACATTTTCCATTTGTATGAAATTTAAACTTGAACTAGGTAAGGCTTTATGCCATGGCCTTACAGTGTTTTCCAACAAGTCCCAGCTATAGTTGTCTGCATGCATTTGTTAGCAAGCATTTTCAAGTGGAAATGAAAAAAATATTAGTTTTAGTGTGTTTAAACTTATTTTAATCAATTCCAGCAGGCTTTACAATCATTCTGACTTTTGGGTTAGACACTCCAGAGTGTTATCTTTCAGAGAAGCCCAAAACCATGCATATACTCCAAATGGTTTAAGAACTACATTCGATTTACTTTGGATATGCCTTGAATAGACGTTTTGCATGAATTTTACAGGAATGTTAAGAGGTTACAACAGCTCTCATTTTTTCTTCACTTGAGTGTAGATATCCTCTGGGCCGTCAGCAGTCTTTGTTAAGCTGTTCGCTGGCTGGGACACTTTGACCTGTGCATACAGAGTATCCTGCTGCTGTCCACTGTCCTGCACTGAGTCAGAGGACAGTTCAGGTCTCTGTTTTGAGAAGTCAACCTCTCCATAATGGATGTCTTCTTTTTCTTCAGTTTTAAATGCTGGGTTTTCAACAGCCAGCTCTTCACCTGTTTGACTCTATAAAAATATGAAATGTTGTGAGTAGCTGAATGTAGACCTTCCTCTGGGCCTGTTCCATCTTTTCTGGACAAACGGCACCAAAACATCTTACATTTTGTCACAAAGACCTAAAAAAAAACCTGTCTACTCAATCTTCAATCAGTGTATTGCTAAGAGGATATTTTATCACATTTGCTGTGTCTCTTTTGCACCTTTAGTGTTCAGTTACAAGTGCTTTCATGTATGTTACAGTACAGTCACTGTGAACAACAAAAAACATTTAAAGTGCTGTACAGAAAAGTTTAGTATTTTCCCACCTGACTCGGTTGTTGAGTTGAATGTGTTGACTTTAACCGCCTCCCACACAGGACAGCGCTGTAAAATAAATAATAAATGAAACATCTGGATTAGTACGTAAATTGAATGCAGGAAATTTGCTCGCTGATAAGTTGATGAAGAGATGTTCAAACCAACAGAACACATAATCATCTGTTCCTTCGTCTTGAATGTGGCTGTAGCTGAAAGTGAAGTCACAGAAACTGAATCATATTAGTTGCTTTAATACTTACCAAACACCGACAACCAGGCAGACGAGTAAAATGACCCCAATAATTCCTCCAAGAACTGCCCCCCAGTTTAGAGATCCACCAGTCAGTCCTGCTCATAAACACAACAATATGCAGACAAAATAAAATGCAGAAGTTCCACTTTTTCAAATAGGAAAGTAAGTGGATTCAGTGCGGTTCAGTGTTAACCTTCAAGAGTCAGATGGATCTCTGATGACGTCTGATTACCAAGATCATTTGTGGCCACACAGTAATAAACTCCTCCATCAGTGACATTGGTCACCTTGAAGCTGTAAACCTCTCCTTCAGATACATTCTTGGGTCCATCTGTGCTGTTCTTGAACCAGGTGAAGCGGCTGACGGGAGGCTTGGCTCTGCTGGAGCAGGTCAGGTTCACCCAGCTACCTGCTGACACCAAACCTGATGGACTGATGGACACTGAGGTGTTTTTAGGAGCATCTGAGGAAAATGTGAGATTCACTTTATTCAAATCAGCTGACATCCCATCAATCATCATGTGTTGACAGGATCCAATAACAAACTCTGCTTGTCTTACATGAAACACTGAGAGTCTTTCTCTCCTCTGCTGTCTTGACATCTTTTCCTTCATTCACAGGATATGTGGCAGAACAGGTGATGTTGTATCCATCATGTTGGTCTGACAGAGTGATGGTCTCCTGGATTTTAGTTGTAAAGGTTCGATCGGTGTTTTCCTCTGTGTTGCTGTGAGAGTCTTGTTGGAGGTTCCAGGTGAGTTTAGGAGGGGAGTGTGGACAGGGAGTGGAAGCTGAGCAGGTTATAGTGACAGACTGCTTCTCTTTCAGATCAGCTGGGATCTCAATTCTGGGGCTCGGAGGAGAATCTGTGGTTTAGAAACAGACTTACAATCAGCTTTATTGGCCAAGTTATGTAGTTTTTGTTTTTTAGGTCAAAATTGTGCCTGATACTTTATGTATTTTTACACTAACATTTTTTTAACTCTCTTACCTGTAACATTTACTTGAAGAGGATCATTACATGCTGTTGCTTTGGATCCACTGATCGCAAAGTTCTGAATTCTTAAGAAGTATGTGTTTGTAAGATTTGTGAGTGAATTGGAAACCAGAGTGGTGCAGTTTTTTTGACTCAGATTTCCAATAATATTCATTGGATCATTTTTGTCAATAGTTATGTTAGTTGGATATAAATTGTTGTTTTGTTTAATCCACACTCCAAAGATACTCATGCCAGTAAAATCTCCTTGTTTAACACTAAAGTTACATGGGATTTGCAAACAAGATCCACTCAGTGCTTCCATTTTCTGTGGTGTGGTAATGACGATGGCTGGTGGATTAGGACAAACATTCACATCCAAGGCACCTGTAAAACCAGACTCACGATTAACGTAATGTGAAACAAATCTCTATGAATAGTAAGAGAATATTCAGCAGCAGGATGTTGCATGCTGTTCAAGTGCTACTAAAACCTCTGACTGTAAGTGATGTTCAAACTGCAAATGATTCAGGTGTCCAAATAATGAACAAACAGCTCACCTGGAATAAAGAAGAGACTCAGTAACATGTTGGCTGTCACCATTTTCACAGACAGGACTGCCATGTAACCCATCGTCTAGATTTGCAAACACATTAATGCAGTTACTTAATAAACAGGTATTGTGAGCTATTACAAAGAATGTAAGTAAATCTCTACTTAAAATGCTCACAATCACACCAGAAACGTTCACTATACAACTAGGATTCACTTTGTTATTAGTAGTCAATTAACATTTTTAGAACTTCAGTTTAAAACAAAATATTTGAAGTAAAATTTTAAATAATACCACACTATTGAACTGCTCTATAACATTAGTATTCAATCATGTAATTATTTTGTGGAGGTCAGGAAGAGTAACAAAATAATATAATTGTTGTGTCTAAAAAGTCAAATCAGTAACAAAAACTCCGTCTTACCAGACAAGCCAACACCAGAAAGAGAGCAGCAATGAGATCCTTTGAGTGATTTTTAAATAGGAAATCCTTTAGTTAGTAGAACACCAAATAACAAACTTCCCTCTTTTGTAACTTAAACCAAGTCAACTTCCCCAGTTTCGAGAGTACAGATTAGAGCAGTCCAGTTAGATTTGATGTGCAGCTGCTAAATATAATCTGACCTGAGTGAGTAGCAGTAAATATAAGATAAATAGAAGAAGTTCTCACATTAACTGCTCATATGTGAGTATTTATAATCACATGACTCACTGTAAAGCTGATGATACACGGGGCAACTTTTTGAGCAATGTTGCTGGGCAATGTTGCGGGTGGAAAGTCTATGTTTTATATATAATACATAGCATCACTAAACATCTACTGTACTGCTCTCCAGGCAGAAAGAAGCAAAAAAGCATTGAAAAAAGTGAATTATATATACACAAAGAAAATTAGATTAAAATATAATTGTGTTTTTAATGTAAAACCTGTGGTTGCTTTTCTGTCATGACAGTAAACACATGAAAACCCCAAATACTAATAACTAATTATTTCACGCAATCTCCGACTGTTGCAACTTCCTCCTACATCATCTGGAGCACATTTGTTCAGTATATTTGCTCTTCCTAAATATTTTATTTCAAGCTTCTGCTTCTTCTTTGCTGATTATGTGGTTTAAAAAAACAGCAAATTAGTATTCAGAAAATAAAAACATCACTGAATATATCTGAACATATGTAAATAGTATCTACTTTAAGAAAAGAAAAGTCATATTGTATCAACAAACAGTGACTGGTACTGGTGATATTTGCTGAATGCTGTGTGCCCTTCTGTTGCATTCATTATTAGCACAGGACGTAACCAAGTAAAATGCAAACACATAAGGAAATCAAAATGCAAAGCAGAACATGCAGCACACTGTGCTGACTGTTCACATGAAGTAGCTGAACTGTCTCTCATGTGAAGAAAAATGAATACAAACCGCACATTACTTCATTTATGCTAATGCTATTATAGTTCAGTACAGTTTAGCAAGTTTTTTAAAGTTGTGTAGGATTGTAGTTTTGAGTTATTTTATTAAATAATACAGTTTTGTTGAACACATTTGTGTCAATTATTGTAATTGATAAGGATTTATTTTAAAGTGAAGATTACTTTTTACATGTACTGCTATACTTTTTATTGTTTATTTTCAATAAGTTTATTAAGCTTGGCATCAAGTATTTAACAATTAACATCTATAAGAGTTTAACACTGAAAACTCGACTGCTCTGCTTCAGGGGTGTAGTTTTGATTAGTTTTGGTTGACTAGTGACAAACAACCCATCAACTGTCAGATTGTGGGTTAAATGTTGCTCAAATGTGACTGGTGCATGGAAGTAGCCTAAGTTACATCACTTTAGTCCAACTGAGCCTTGCCCACTTCATACCAGTGAGGACCAACACAGAGAAAAGGAAATTGAGATATCTCATGTAACAAAAACTGTTCAGATTTTTGTAGAAAATTGTGCTTTCATGTAAAACCTCATCACTCACACTGTAGAAAGAAATTGAGTAAATTTGTTTTCACTAGTGATGGGGATTACAGCTCTTTGAAGAAGCCGGCCTTTTTGGATCCCAAACGGCTCTTCATTTAGTACCAAATCAGTATGCAAGATTTTTTATCTGCAATACAATGACATATTCTGTCATACTGATGGTTAAAAAGTGGGATATTTCCAGAATAACTAGTTGTTTGTGGTGAAAAGAACACCATACGAATGAAATGGATATGGTTAATAAGTAATTACACAACTCTATACAGGCAGGTGACATCAACAAAGTCTGTGAGGATCCAGGACTTAGGCTTAAGGGTAGAGATTGGACCTGGGCCACTGATCGTATCTTGTGAGAAAGGAAGAGGATGGAGGCAACATACCCTTACAAAAATTTCCTGTGGTAAAATACCATACAATTTCTGTGGTATTTGTACCTCATGTTCCTACATTCTGTGGTACTTTACAATACATTCTGTGGTACTTTACCATACGTTCTGTGGTACTTTACCATACATTCTGTGGTACTTTACCATACGTTCTGAGGTACTTTACCATACATTCTGTGGTACTTTACCATACGTTCTGTGGTACTTTACAATACATTCTGTGGTACTATACCATGTTTTCTGTGGTACTATACCATAGAACCTGTGGTATAGACATGCCCTATAGCACTATCTAATACATTCTGTGGTAATGCACTTAATATTAACAAAATGCCCATTTTCAGTAATTCTTAAAAATATGAATAAAACTACAATATTACAATTCAAGTTTGTTTTATTAAATAAACAAAATATGTAACAGTGAAACGTGTTTCCGTCAGACTTAAGAAATCTTAAGTCAGGTAAGGCGTACCTTGGTAAGCTCAAACGACTAAAACAAGGAATTTTTCAGATTCAGTAGGCATAGTTTTAGTGGTTTACTATCATTACTTTCTGAACAAATCTCAACATGTAAATAAGTTTATATGGATCATAGATCGACCCAAACAACATTACTAGTGTATATATAAACCTGGGGAGATCACTCACAACTATTTCACCTTCGACTACAACAGAAACTCTCTCAGGGTTGAAGCAGACTTCACCAGGAGTGTTGTACAGTGACCACAGTGAGGAGTGTCAGCAATATCTGGTTCATCTTCGCACTGCAAAATACAAACAATGCAATTATGAGTGGAGCCTGACCAATTTATCGGCTGATATGAGCTAAGTGCACCTTCAGTAACATTCAACTGCAAATAAAGACAGTCAAATTTATACAAACACAGTGATTAAAACAATGGATGAGAAATAGAAGACAACCATTACCTTAAACATGACAACAAAAAATGGAAAGCCAGTGCAGTAAGTTTTAGACCTGAATATTCGACTATTAGTTAATTGGGTAGGTATTTGTTTTTTTCAATCTGTCCGCTTTCAACTTTCTTTTTCAGCAGTTATGTTTTATAGCACAAAAAACACAGCTTGCGTTTTGGACTTTTTCACCCGCGATTCCATGTTTACAAATGCAGGTGAACTGCGTGTGGAGGAGGCCCAATCTACAGCTCTCTCTGTCTGTTTCTCTGCAACTGTCGTAGTGCAGAGTAGACTGCACAGGGATCAATCACAGACGTTGGTCTCTTGGATAGATAAAAAAGTTAAAAAGTCATGCACAGCAATAGCGCTGTAACAGTTCTGAAACCGAAACACAAAAGTCTATTTTCTCCTGTAAGATTCCCTGTAATTTCCAAATATACTTTGGCAGATGCAAATATACCTGGCCGTCCCGCCCAAGTAAAGTATGAAAACACTGTATTTAAAGTTAATGCAAGCTGTAGGCCTATATTTTGTAAACATTACACGTTGGACCAATTTTATTGTCTTCCAGCTGCGTGTCACGTGACTATTTTGGTCCACTCATGATTGAGGGATCATGGAATTGTGGCTCAAAAATTGAGGTCTGAACTGAACCGTCAATTGGGTTGAATTGGGAAAATAGTTGGCTTTATTCTCCTAGTCATCACAACAATAACAATAAAATTTCACTATTAATAGTAGATTTGTCCCAGTCTGTGTTGACTGAATACTGTGGCTATGGCAAAGTTAATCTTAAACTCACCTGGAGGTCATAAATCCTTAGGATGTCCGCAGTGCCTCTGCTGTCTGTGAGACCTTCTGCCTGTACAGGGTAGCAGTAGAATAGTTCTACATCTGCAAGCATACAAGTATATACACACAAATGTATGTAGATTAATACAGAGTTTTCAACTTGGGTCTTCACAGATATATATGGGAAATACAATACAGTTTTTACCTGGGACCACTACATTGACATAGTGTTATGATGATGATTTCAGTCAGGTAATAAATAGCTCAAGGACCATAAAGGCGTTATAATAAGGTAATAACAGCCTTTCACACAGTCTACAGTAAAAATCTGCAACAGTAGTAAATTGCTTCTTTTCATTTTAAAATGTCATACATTGTGAAATGCTTTTGGCTCCTATAGAAGCAATCCATCCATCCATTGTCAACTGCTTATCCTGTGTACAGGGTCGCGGGGGCTGGAGCCAATCCCAGCTGACATCGAGCGAAAGGCGGGGTACACCCTGGACAGGTCGCCAGTCCATCGCAGGGCCACACATAGACGAACAATCACTCACGCTCACACTCACACCTAAGGACAATTTAGGGTCACCAATCAACCTAGTCCGTATGTCTTTGAACGGTGGGAGGAAGCCGGCGCACCCGGAGAGAACCCACGCAGACACGGGGAGAACATGCAAACTCCATACAGAAAGGCCGGGGCAACCCACGACCTTCTTGCTGTGCTGTATAGAAGCAATGTAGTATTTTATCCCCAGTATGTCTGATTAGCAAGCCAGCAGGTGACTGCAGGTGACAGAATTTAACACACAGGCAGGTTTATTTATTCTGTACCACTGAGGGAGGAAGAGACCCTTAACTTGCTTTTAATAATGAAGCCAAAACATTCCTGTATGGTCCTTATAATGCCTTTAACTCAAGTCTTTCAAATATATGCAGTATAAAAAGCATTATGTCCAAATACTCTTAAATAATTAATAGTAACATATACCAATGCTGATGCTGAGTATGCAGATTCTTAGATAAAGTAGTGTCACTCAATAATCACTTTGATCC